TAATGACCTTTAAAATATAAAATAGATTTGTGATTTTAGTGAAGTGTTCACTTTTCACATTGTTGTAATGGAGTACATATTCCTTGTTTTATATTTTTCTTTCTTTATTTGTCTCTGTGCTCTGGTGTGCCTGTATTTTTCTGGCTGCCAAGAAATGACTTATAAGCATGAAGGTAAGAAGTTGTAAGTTAGCTGACTTTTTCACATTACAGTGAAATTCAAGTCTGGTCCAACTGGTCTTTTTTTTTCCTGTTTTGAGTAATTACTTGAAAATAGATGTAATGTTAACATGACCTGAGAAGACAAACCTGCTGTAGCTGTAAAGAAATTAAATTATTTGCAGGATTATCTGCTCAGTTCAAACTAGTGTTGTAATAAAAATTATGTGATTTTTCTGCATACAATATGATCTATATATTCAAGAGTGCATTATAGGTTTTATGTGAGTTTTAATCCAAAAGGAGTTGTCAGTGACTTTCAGAATGTCTTACAGCTAGTCATATTTTGAAAACCTATTTATTGTGTTTCAGAAATTTTGTAGAATATTCATGCATCATTAATTACAAAGCTTTAATGCACTATTATATTATAAATATATGTGAACATATTGGCAAAGAAATATACATGTAAAAGGTGCAAAATATTTTCTTTGCACAGATTATTGCCAGATACTAAGCTATAAACATCAGCATGCCACCAGCACTGGAGATTTAATATTTTCCTCTGACAATTGTAATTTAAAATTAACCATTGAATATCTTTTCGCACTGCTTTTAGCACTATGCTTGAATAAGTTGTATAATTTCAAGAGGTTTACATGTTTAAGGATATTCTGACATTAATACAGTTATTCAAACAGAACATCAAAGTAATACATTCTGTATTAAAATAAGGTATAGTATTATTTTTTGGTTCATTCTTTTAATTCTACCATCATTGTGCAATAGCTAAATCCTGCATTCTGCTCACTACAAATATTTCCTCGGAAGAGTAAACATGCAAGTTCTCAATTGAGATATGGTAATTATATATGTTTTATACAAATACATGGAACAGATTCAGTCAACATACAAAATTGGCTTGAGCATATGTAGTACTTGACGGACTATCCTTGAAGTTTTAGTATTTCTCAGTGTTGGAGGAAAGACTAATTATCATTTATATTATTTATTCAAATGTGTGGATATTTCCTGGTGGTTTCATGCTGAAATGTTTAAATGAACAAAAAGTAAACCTCTATTATCAGTTGAGGGTTGGAGCAGCTACTGATATTTTTAAATGAGTAATCTGTTCTGTTATAGAAACTAGAACAAATTATTGTCTGTGTGGGCTTGCATTTTTCTTTTTCTTGCTTAAATCAAAAGGTTAGCAACAGTTTAATGTGTGGCAAAAAGCATCTCAGCTATGATAAGCCTTCTTATTTTCTTCGGTTTAATTAACCTGTAGTTGTTTCCTATAAGTCTAGTTAGGAGCACCTTGTGTGATTCACATCCTGATTGTGTACCATTACATGTGTTTGTCTTTCTGAAAGCTGCATAATGAACGAAACACCTCCCCTACTGATTTACTGGTGAGGGACTTTGAGTAGATGGCAGCCAGTACAGCAGTCCCAAAGGGCAAGAGAACTTGCGTTGCAAAACTGGAGAATTGCCTACTTCCTTCCCCTCCCCCCTTCCCCAGGTTTTTTCCATCCTCTACTTCCCATTACCTGAAGCAGAAAGATTGAGCCAGCGATTCCCAGGCTTGGGGCATAGTATATCCAATATAATTTTGCCCAGGCTTTTAAAAAAATTCTTGTTCCTTTTTAGCTGTCTCACTCTTGCTGCATTTTCTCGTAATGAGAGTTGTCTTATTGTGTTTTAGGGATGTGCAAAGCTTCAGTAGCTGATTCGGTTCGGAGGAGATTCGGCCCGATTCAGGGACCAAATCTCTGAATCCAAATTGAATCAGGACACCAAATAAAAGCTCCGAATCGATTCAAAGCATCTGAATCTATTTGGAAAAGATTTGGCCGGTTCGAATATTCAGCCATAGACTAAACAGGCAGCTGACAGCTGCCTTGAGCTGGTAAGTCTGTTGGGGTTGGGGGAGGGAAGGGGCATGTGAGAGGGAGGGATTGGTGCTGGGACAAGCTGCCCAGCCGGGGCAGGGGGCATGTTACTCAGGGAGGGGTGCGGGATGCGGGAAGGCAGTGCTGGGAGTGGGGGCTCTGCCCTACTGCCACTTGCCCAGCTGGGGCATGGGGGTGGGATGCAGGCATGGCTCACTCCAGGCGGAAGGGGGCAAGTGACAGCAGGGCAAAGCCCCCACCCTCAGCACTACCATGCCTGCATCCCGCACTCCCACACACCAGCTAGCAAGCGGTGGCAGGGCAGAGCCTCCGCTCCCAGCCCTGTTGCAGGCATGACAGCACTGGAAGCGGGGACTATGCCTTGCCATCACCCAGAGCAAGCTGCGCCTGTATTGCGCCCTCCCCTGTGCCGGGTGGGCACACAGGAGCAGGGCATAGCCCCCACGGCTCCCCCTGCCCCCAGCTCCCAGACAGTGCACAGCGCCCTGCCGAGCCGTGCTGCACGCCCCCCATGGGGCAGCTGCCATGCAGGTGCCAGGTCCCCCGCCATGCAGTGTGAGCAGTGAAGAGCAGTGGGGATTGCCTCCCCACTGCCTGGCACCCTCACGTAGCTGTCGAATCATGCAGGTGCAGTGCGGTTTGGCAGGATGCTGCATGCTGTCTGGGAGCTAGGGCGGCTCCAGCAGTCAGCCAGAGTCCAGCAGCACTCAGCCCCAGAGGTCCCAGCTCCCAGGCAGTACGCGGCACCCTGGTAAGCCATGCTGCAGTGGGTCTGACTGATCGCATGTTTGAAATCAGGAGGGATATTATTTTTTTTCTGTTGGGCCACTACCTCCTATATAGTCTGACCAGAAGTCAGGTATAAATCGAAGAAGGTCTAGCCTAAGTGGTTTGAGTTATTGTGTGAGCTGTTTTAATTTACAGTGGAACTAGTTAAATGCTTGGTGGGGGTGCCCTGATGTTTAACTTAATGAAATTGTGGCCTGTGACTTAAGATCCATCCCAGATACCTGTCATTCATCTTCTTGCCTGTTCTGTTCAAGCAAACCTATAAAGCAAAGCCCTGTAAAGAATGTGAATGCTAGAGGGAAGAATTGCAATTCTCAGGGGGAATAGTTTCTCCCTCAAATGTCTTAGATGTATACTGGATAAATTGGGGATGCTTATTTAATACTTGACAACAGTGGGGTGTCTTAATGGATTTTTAATAGTTCGGTCCCCCCTCCTTTTTTCTCTTGTTTCTGCATGAACGAAGTAGTAACACCTAATAATTTGATGGACTAGAAAGGAAAGGCTGATCTTTAGAGATCTTTCAGTTATGCTGTCTTTTCTTTCTAGCAGCATATTTATGGTGATGCAGGGTTGTAAAGAATGGAGGTTTCATTTACAAAAGTGAGATGTGGGTTTTTTTTGTACTTTTGTTTTTGAATTTTTGCCAACTGGGACAATAACACATTTGAAAGGATTTTTGTAGTCAAAACTTTGGGCTCTAAATGCAGTACAGCTTAAAAAAAACCCAACTATTCTAAGATTAAGAATAGTTATGTTGCAAAAGTTTGAGCTATCCAGAGTGTGTGTGGCTGATAAGATAGCTTGTGCGTTAACAGAAATTGAACTTCAACTCCTATCCCCAACAGACCAGTTTAGTTTGAGTTTTGAAAGTATTATTTCTTTGGCATCTTTTAATTCAAAATATTCATGCATATAGCTGATGTCAGGTTAGGGACAGCACCCAGTGTTTATACCTTGCACTATACTGCAATGAAGAGAACTCCTAAAATATTAAGAGGTGTGATGAGAAGGTCAAGGTCATGCCTCAGACCTGGTATAACAGGGATCCAGGTTTTCCATTTCCAGTGAAAAAATGGAGTAAACCAAGGATTTTACTTTTTACCAGAGACAAAAGAGGATTCTCATTTTACCAGAGAAACCTATGGATTTAGCAGTTTGGCAACAAGTCCTCTGCAGGCTGGCAGAGTTGTGGCCTGCAGGTTGTGGGTTGGGTTGCAGGAGGAGGGTGGTCAGGCAGGGACTGATAACAGGGTATCGCAGTGGCATGCAGCTTCCAGTTAAGACTTTTTACTCATTACTAAGATTGTATTTCAATATGAATCCTCTACCTCACTTATTTTTAGAAGAACATGATCATTTTTACATTATCTGTGATTTAAAATATCTAAGATTTACTTTTCCTAATAATGCAATTTTTCCCTCTTTGTTAATATATTTTTCTTTCATTTTTTTAACACTGGACAAACAAAAAGCATCACCTGGTATCTTAAAATTGATTTTCACACAAAAGAACACTTTAACATAACCTTAACTAATTTGAGTTATCAATAATGTGGTAGATAAACTTAGGTCACATGCTTGATTGTCCTCTGAGAATATTTGCATCTGAACCAGTTACTTTGCCTGAGAAAAAAAATCTTGAAACTAATCGATTAGTGTCAGATACTGAATATCTTAAAATATCAGGATAGCTGTTGTGTGTGGCTATCTGTATTTTGTGTGTTAATGTATATGGCACGTTTCCAATGCCACATGCAGCCTGATTATTTGAAGCACCTAAATAAATGATGCTGTATGGAATAATTTCTTTAATCAGGTTTGAATGGTAAAGATTCGCAGAGGGAAGAACTTTTCTTTATTTTGTTTCACAAATGATTTCTTCCTAGTGCCCCTCAGTTGGAAGCCAGAGATGTAATCCTTATATGAGTAGATCCACTGAAATCAATAGAAGTATTTAGGTGTCCCACCTTCAACCTTGTTAGAAAGAATGACCACAATTTGAAAATAAAGCTAGAGCAATTGCCTTAAAATCCTTGTTTTCTGTACAAGGATTTCCTGTATGTCTTTTGTTTAACAAGGTTAGAGATTCTCTTTTGCTGAGTATCCTAATAGTAATGAAGAAAACCTGACTTTTCAGAGGCATGTTGTCGAGACATTTTTTGGATTTGATGAAGAATCTGTTGATTCAGAAACATCATCTATAACTTCATATAACACAGATAAGACAGACAGGACACCAGCAACCCCAGAAGAAGACTTGGAAGATGTGAGTAACAGATTGTATCTTTTCTTAGCTTCTTTATAAACTAGCACAATGAAAATATTTTTCAGGTTTTCTACCTTTGCATTTGGAGATGAATATTTAAGTCTAAAAATGTGTGCTGAACTGTTGTAGGGCAACTAATAAACTGATAATGTCAGTCTGCCTTCCTGCTGGGCTTTTAACCAACTGAATCAGACTTGCAGATATCAACAGATCTTGAGAAATAAATTTGCTTCCCTCCTAATCAGTCTTGCTAGTCAGAAGAAGGAAATCAATAGGCCTTTGCACTGATAACAATGCATAGTTGCTACACAATGGCTCTTCTTGGAATATTTTGACTTGTTTGACTGTTGTGATACAACCAGGTCCTTCACATTGTAGTTCTAATATTGAGAGGTTTTGTCAATATACAGGGGCTTAATAATAATAAGCGGTAAATACATATTGATGTGTTTTATCTGAGCTGGATGACCTGCATTACAACTGGCTTGAAGCAAACAATTTCAGGGAATAGGACAAAATATTCAGCTGGGCCCTCACTTCAACTTCCTATGCTTTTCACTAACCCTTTTACCCTCGAGTTGCACCCTCTTCATTTTATTTTCTGCTCCTGTCCCACTTTCTTTTTCTCCCTAACTAGTTGGTGTACAAGGACCTCATGCTAAAATATTTAAAGATTTTAAAGTACTGTGATTTTACTGCACGATTAAGGCTGCATAATGCTTTCCCCCTTTTCTCCCTTCCTTTCTCCCTTTTCCACCCTCCCCTCTCTCCCCAAACCTCAGAAAATGGAGCCAGCAGAACTTGTCTTTTACCAAAGGGGAGAATTTTCTAGTCCTCATGACTGTGGAGAAAGGCTTTCAACCTCAGAAACTCTAAAATGTGCTCGTTTGGAAATTAACATTAAAATGATTATGATTTTTACACTGATCTCATGACAGTTTGAGGAAACACTAGGTTTTTCATGTTTTGGGCTGGCAATACTCTTCTTATACTTAGAGAGAGAGTTAGTAGGGCTGTGTGAAGCTTTGGTCGCTGATCCGATTCGGAGGAGATTTGGCCTGATTTGGCAGCTGAATCTCCGAATCAGATCAGGAGACCCATTAATCTTTCCTAATCAAACTGGAAGCCTCAGAGATTTGGAGAGATTCGATGATTCGGACCTAGACATAGCTTTATATGTTTTTTCTACATACCTCAAGGTGCCAGGCGGCTCATGAACACTGAGATGCTGGGGTGGATGGAGCGTCCCCAACGCACTCGGTGGTGGACTCAGAAGTGGACCAGAAGCACTCCTGGTCCACTTCTGGGTCTGCTGTGGAGCACATGGGGGACCCCCCTACCCCCAGCTCGGTGACTGGTGCCTCCCGGCTCTGGGGGGGCACCTAGGGTCCCCCCGTGGCTGATTGTCAAGCCAGAGGGGTGCTGGGGAGTCCCCTGCCTGCTTAGTGGAGGACCTGGAAGTGGACCGGAAATACTTCTGTTCCATTTCTGGGTCAGCTGCCAAGCATGCGGGGATGCCCCCCGCTCTCCTGTGGGATGCTCCAATTGCCTTACCATCTCAGCATTTATGAGCTGCACATGGTACCTCGAGGTATGTAGAAAAAACATTTAAAGCTGTGTCTATGGCCAGATTGCTGATTCTCCAAATCGAATCTTCAATTTCGGCCAAATCGAATCGGGCAGTGATCTGAATCAACGAACCTTATCACTTGCCCCCCAAATTGGGCCAAATCCGAATCGAATACAGCCTGCTTTGCACACCTCTAATAGTTAGCCATGTTAGTATGAAGTCAGGAAGAAGCCATGATAGAGGCGTACCTTATAGTCTAACTGAATCAGAACTTTTATGAGCAAATGAGTGTCTCCTTGTGAAAGCTTATTCATTCATTTAGTCTATAAGCTGCACATCTAGACTGTCTTTTACTTAGAGTTCTGTAAGCAGAATGTCTGCTTATTATTCTGTGTTTAATTATGTTGCCTCAGCAGAGAATTGTGGTGAGAGTAGTAGGATCTACTGGGTGTCCTTTCCGAATCATAGCTCTCCAGTCAGAGTATCCTTTGGATCCTCACACCCACAATCACCACATATTTTGTTTTTCACCTCTGGCTCTGTGACTCACAGTTTGTCTCTCTGAGTTCAGTATTGTTCACACTGTGTGTGTCTCCTTATCAGTAATGTAATAGTGGATGGGCAAGCAGTGCATAAGCCCTGGGTGCTGCCTAAGGGGAGGGGTGGAGGTGCCAGAATAGAGCTAGGGAGGTTCAGTCTGTTCCTCATCCTGCTCCCCACCAGCACCTGCCCTTCAGTGACACTGGCTCCAACAGTTGTGAGGGCAGAGCTGTGGCACTGCACAGCTGGAGGTTCAGTGTTGCAGAGGTGGGGGAAATGTCACCTCTTTTTTTGCCACTGAAAATCGGTGTTCTTTGTGGGGCTCAAAACGCATGCTGGCAACCACACAAGAAAAGGGGAGGAAGTGACATTTCCCCCCGCAAAATCAAACCTCTGGCTGCTGCACCTTGTACCACTGCCTCTCAGGGTGCAGTACTGTCCAGTTATGCTTCTGTTCCTTATACTCTCTCTTTCTGGCTCCTTTCACTTAAATTCACTATTCATTTCTCTTCTTCTCCATTCACACACACTGCCTTTACTCTCATGTTGACACACATGCTATTACTCAATTATCTATGCCTTCACGCTTCACTCAATTCTAAAGGAAATGCAATTATGTCTTTAGTTTGGGTTTTTTTTCTGTCCACCCCTGCATCTGCTTTCTTATCTCCATTCATGTTTTAAGGCTGCATAATGCTTTTAGGCACCCGTAAGGCTTTTCTCTTCCTCCTTTTGCTCTTCCTAAGCTTGCTATTCTCCAGCCTCCATCACCCACACCCTCCAGCTTGCAACATAAGGGCATGCAAGAGTGGAGGCTGGCTGGAGGAAAGAACTTACTAGTCCTCTTCCATCTCTGGGCTTCCTGGAGTTTTCTTTCAGATGGATAACAGGAGGAAGGTTCTGCACAAAGAGTTAGTGGCATAGGGTGTTAGGCTCTGTCCTTTCTGTATATGTTAGCTTGCGAAGAGATTTCTAGGGAACAGGCTGTCTGTGCTGGAACTGGGAATGTAAACGGTGCTCTTTTTCCCCTGTATATGTGAGATTGGAAGCAGCCGTTTAACAAACCTTTTCTTATTGTGGCTATGGGAATCCCTGGCTGTTTGTAAACCCAGGTTTTGGACAAAATTCTTGCCCAGCTTGCTGGGATAGCAATTGATGTGTCAATAGTTGCTGTTGAAAAATATTAATTATTTTTCTGTTCTTTAGAACAACTGCTGTATAATTTATGAAACTGCTGCTACCCTCAAAGGGTTCCTGCAGCAATAAATGACAATGATGCACTGTTTTGCTTTTCTCTTTTAAGAGCACACCTAAAGAAGAAGCTGATTTAAGGTTCTGTCAGCTAACCAGAGAATATCAGGCTTTGCAAAGAGCATACGCATTACTCCAGGAGCAAGTTGGTGGAACGCTGGATGCTGAGAGAGAAGCAAGGGTAATTTGGGGGGATTAGAAGGGTTGTTGGTTGGAGGGAGGGGGGTTGTATTGAGATATTTCAGAAATCTGATACACCTGACCTGAAATTTGTATCTGTGGGTCAGTGGACTGTATTGCAATACATACATTTAAGGAATAGACAACATGCTTGAAGCAACTATTCTAGACTGATCAGTTGTGTATGGAACAGAGATCATAAAATTTGTTTTATTCTGTCCTTATTTTATAATAAGGTCTTAAATTGCAACAAAAGATATTGTGATGGGATATTAAGAAGAACTTTGTCACTATAGGAGTGGTTAAGCATTGGAATAGGCTACCTAGATAGGTTGTGCAATTGCCCTCAGTGGAAGTTTTTAAGAACTAATCTGGAAGGGTTTAGATGGAGACTATCAAGCATTTTTACACATGCTCCGGGAGTGGAGGGGGGACACTTGAATTAAAGCAGCTCCTAGAGCCACTGTAATTAAAGCGCTGGGAGTATCTTGTGTATCAGCATCCCTGTGCTTCAAAATGAGGAGAGGGGGACGGTGCTTGAACTAAAGCTCATTGAATGAGCTTCAATTCAAGTGTCCCTGCTGCTATTTTGAAGTGTGGGGACTCTGATACACAAGACATGGAGACTGGCTGAAGCGTGGTAATTACCATGCTCCCACAGACTTGATCAACGTGTCGGCGGAGACTCAGTTATAATTGCATGAAATGAAGAGAAAGTAAATTAAAGAAGGCTTTATGTTTTAATAAACTGGGATTGGGGAGTTGGGGGTGCTGATCATGCTTCCTGGGGTGCCTGGGAGCTGGAAGCAATGAGGGAAGGTGATTTTGAGGGAGCTACTGCCCCTGCCCTGGGGAGGAAGCCCCAGCTATCTCTAGGTAACCTGTTCCAGTGCTTTACTACCGTCCTTGTGAGAGTTTTTTCCTAGTATCTAACCTAACCTTCCCTTGCGGCAAATTGAGACTATTGTTCCTTATTCTGTCATCTCCTACCACTGAGAACAGTCTAACTCCATCTTCTTTGTAATCACCATTGCATAATTGAAGGCAGTTATTAAATGCTCTCTGTCTTCTCTGATGTGGACTAAATAAGCCTAGTTTCCTCAGCCTGTCATAAGTCATGTGCCCCAGCCCCTCTAAGTATTTTCACTGCCCTCTGCTGGACTCTGTCCAATTTGTCTACATTCCTTCAGTAGTGGGGGAGACGGGGGCAAAACTGGACACAGTACTCCAGATGTGACCTCATTAGTGCTGAGTAGAGGGTAATAATCACTTCCCTTTACTGGATGGCAACACTCCTACTAATGCAGCCCATTTTGCTGTTAATCTTCTTTGCAGCAAGCTTGTGCTGTTGGCTCTGTCCACTGTAATCCCCCGGTCCTTTTCTGCAGAGCTGCTGCTTAGCCAGTCACTCCCCAACCTGTTCTGGTGTTTGGGATTGTTCTGTCCTAAGTGCAGGAGTTTGCATTTGTCCTTACTGAACCTCATGAGATTTCTTTTGATCCAATCTTCCAACTTGTTGAGGTTTCTCAAATTCCTAGCCCTACCTTCCAATCTGTGCTACTCCCCCCAGCTTGGTGTCATCTGCAAACTTGCTGAGAGTGCACTTCATCCCATCTTCCAGGTTGTTAAACATATTGAACAAGACTGGTCCCAGGACTGGCCTGCCAACTAGAAAGGGAGCCACTGATTAGTACCCTTGGAGCCCAAAGATCCAGCCAGTTTTCTATCCACCTTACAGTCCATTCATCCAACCCATACTTCCTTAGCTTGCTTGCACAAATGTGTTGGGACACCGTATTCCACAGCTGCTATACGTTCCTACCATTAGTTTCTACCCTTGCTGTTGGGTGCTAGTCTACCATAATTGTGGATGACTTTCACTTTGTTCCCAGGGTGAGCAAATAAGTTATTTTGTCTTAAAAAGGGCATAATTACACATTTTGTTAGAGTAATATTTCTCATGTGTTCACATATTTGACATCTATCTAAGATGATAAATTATGTCTTCAGTTATAGAAAAGGACGTTTTGGGGGCCTAACTTTTTCTTTCTGGCATTTTTTTAAATTGGAAGGCATTTGAAGATGCATGCTTTATGAGAACGCTGTTTGAAATAGTAACATTTTTCACAGGCATAGTCTTGTTTTTTTTCAATCACTAACACAAGTGCACATAGCCGTCCTTGCCTGGCACAGTTGGTGTGCCATGAGGATATGAACGGATGAACAGATGTCAAATTATATTCTGGGAGAAAGCATCTTGTCCTGGGATCACATAGATACACATGTCACTACCCCACTTCAAGTCCCTCTGAAGTATACTGGATGTAATGTACTAACACTTTTTTCCCATGGCATCTTTTTGTACATCTTTATCATTGGGGGTCATTCCTAGAACAAGCCTCTCAGACTGTGTACTCTTCTGACCACCTACTATTGAAAGAACAGCAATGCTTCTTGGAATGTCTATGGGTGTGTCTAGACAAAACGGGGGTCCTAAATTGAAGCAGAAACAAACTGCTTCAATTTAGGGTCTTTTAAACCCCTGTGTCGTGCACACACCCTGCATGTACCTGCCTCTCCGGCAGCAGGGAGGTGAGGGCAAGCTGCTGGCAAGTGGAGCAGTCCCTGGGCTAAGGGTGGGGCTGGTGCTTCTTCCACAGCAGCAGCGCACCCCCCGCCCCCCTCCCATGCAGTACCCACCTGCAGGCATCCAGCTCAGGTGGTCCCAGAGGGGCACTGCAGCTGTGGAGGGAAGCACTGGGCTCCTGTGCAGCTCAGGCAGGCAGACAGACAGGCTCCAGGGGGAAAAAAAAAGATCAGGCTTGCTGCTTTTCTTGGGCAGAGCCTGCCTTGCCAGGTTGCCTGCAGGGCTTCCTGCAGAGCCCCTGAGCTGCAGGGAGCCTGGTGCTTTGATCTGCAGCTGTAGGGGCACCAAACTAAAACTCATCGGAGTTTGTTTGCTGAGCCCCAAGTAATTTAAGGCACATTACGCTGCTGAATTTCCTGTAACCGCTGTAATTAGTGAAGAATACGCCGCCAACACGTGCAAACACCAACACCATTAAAGTGGTGCAAAAGCATTTAGCCCACTTTACAGTGTGGTGCACACATGCCCCTTGTTTTGTCTGCACACAGCCTATGTGTGTAAATGACTGTCACTGTAGTTTTGACTGGGGTCAAATAGTCCCAGGTCTGTTTACAGCTTGAAGGACTAACTGAATTGCTAAGCACCCACTTTTAAAGGGATTTAGGCATCCAGAGACTCGGATATAGATGTCTAGTGGGAATTTTAGTGATGCCTAGGCACCTAACTCACCTTCTCAATGCATAAACGGCTTGAAAATGCTGTTGCTAAGATCCTCCTACAAGTTGCCAGTCTCATTGGGGAATGGAAAAATTCAGGAGGTAATTTGCAGAAGGTACTCATAAGTCATGTGATCAAGTCCCAGGTGAGGCAGTTTTGCAGCTGAAGTGATTGTGTATATGGAGGTAGCTATCTTATTAAATGATGAAATGAAGATGACTTACAAGTGCCCTATGCTTTCTATTGTATAGGTCAGTATTTAAATTCTGGGTTATTTTAAATTTTATCTTTGGTGATATTTTGCATATACCAGATTTATTTAGTATTTTTATAATTCTCTTTTTTTTAAAAAAAAAGTTGCCCAGGTATTTTCTAGCTTTTGCAAGTTCATCCTGAAGAGTTGTGTTTCTCTTTTCTAACACAGTTTTTGGTAAGTGCTTTATTAATGAAAAACATTATCATATTACATTTTTCTTACGCTATGGGGGAACGAATGAGTGAAAATGAATGAGTTAAACACTTTATAAGATAAAATACAGGTAAACTAATTTAAATAAAAAACAGCTGAAATTCGCCTTGGGGCTGATAGAGGGGAAAAAAATACTAACCGTATCAAGATGTGATTATACAATAATTGAGTATTGGGAAAGTGGAGTTATAGAATCATACTTTTGCAATTCAATCAGCTGGCTGTTGTGACGGTGTACACTTTTTATATCTTTTCAGACTCGTGAACAATTGCAAGCTGACCTCCTCCGATGCCAGGCAAAAATTGAAGACCTCGAGAAAGCTCTGATTGAAAAAGGACAGGTAAAAGGCTCTCTCCATGCCCTCTGTCAAGTCATTCTCTCTTTTGCATATGGCAGTGCTCTTATCTTCATTGCATGCTGGTGTATTGGTGTGTTTGATGAAGCTTAGTTACTACTACAACAATGTAATAACTTGGTGAAAGGAAAATATTCTATAAATTGGAAAAGTTCTCATTTAAAAATCTTTTCCTAGAACGTTAATATGTTATGTCCACATGCATGAAGGTTGTTATTCAGTTCCCACATCATCTTTAACTAGCATCGGCTTCAGAGTTTTCAGCTTTTGCTTGGACAATCTTTAGCCATAATTCGAAACAAAAATGAATCCTATGCATTTTCCACATAGAACATATTTGGTGCCCAGACTGAAGGTATTAAAATGCGTTACTCCTATAAATATTTTAGTTGAAAAAATGAAGACTAAATGTGCATTTCATAGTTGAAACCTACCTTTCAACATTCATTTCATGGGATGAAATCCTTGCTGGTTTGAGTATTCAAAACTCCCACTGTCGTCATCATCAGTGTTGTCAACCCTTTTTTTTTTTTTTTTTTTTAACTGACAAGCAAACTTTTTTACTGGCACATGGTTTTACTGTCAGTTTTATACCCTGCTGCCCCCAACTCAGGGGATCCCCAGCTGTCCCCCCCACCCCAACACCCCTGATTGCACCTCACATGGTGTGTGCTGCCACCCAGCCCACCCCCAGCCTTACCCCTGCTGTACCTGCCTCCTGTCATGGGACAGACCCCCACCCTCTGCATCTCCTAGCTATGCATACCTTCTAGGTGAGCACTGAGCAGATGGATAGGCAAGCTGTGGAGGGTCTAGTAGTGAGCCCAACAGGGATTCACTAAAGGGCTCTGAGCAGCACTCCCACTTAGACACCAGGTGGCACTGCTCTGCTCTCTGTCCAAAGATATGTGAATCTAGCCTCAGTGGCCATGTCCATTGTGCAGGGGTGTGTGCCTGCAGCAGCACAAATAGCAGCAGCACAAATTTGTTCCACTGTGTGCTTTAGCGTACACCCCTACATGTGCGCTTTGTTGCAGGGCACTGCATCCTGCTTTGGGCAAACTGCCTTTGGCCAGTTCCTCCTGGCTCTTGGCATGCTGGAGCAGCCAGGGCACAATTGCAAGACTGGAGATGCTGTGGCTGGCAGCCAGAGCATCTCCCTGGAGGACCTAGCCTCTGTTTGTTCCAGCACACAATATTATAAGGTGTGCTGCACCACTTTTTTTTTTCTGGGTTTTTTTTCTTTGCTACTCAGAAAACCCAGTAGCAAATTTTGCCCCTGTGCTGCAAATTCACAGGGTGGGGCACTTTTTAACATTCCACGTGTGCGGTTTGTGGTGTCACAAACTACATATGCCTGCATGTGGGGATACAGCCATTCATTCACACAGATTGTAAAATGAGTTCAGTCTTACAGATGGCTCAATTTTTCTTGTGGACACCACAGACATGCATTTTTAGACTTTTTTTATATACTGTCTATAAATTTACAGGCAGTTGGCAACTCTATTTCATGGAGTGAAATCAGGTTTAAGACTCGATATATCTTGTTAGGGTTTGGCAAGAATAAATCCTGGCTGTTAGTGCATATTTGATGTCCAGGGGCATTAATAAACAACACGGGGGTTTAATTCTCCCTAAATTGAAGCAGTGTTTTTCTAAAAACACTGCTTCAATTTAGGGCAAAGTAAACCCCCATGTCATATACACCTGTATCCTTACCTGCCTCTGGCGGTGGGGAGGGGAGAGTGAGCTGCCTGCAGGCCAAGCAGTCCCTGAGCTGTGGGGGGGAGGCTGGTGCTTCCCTCTGCGGCAGTGGTGCCTCCTCCCTCCCCCCCAGGCTGCACCTGGCCACAGGCACCTGGCTCAGGCAGTCCTGGGATGCCCACAGCTGTGGAAGGCAGTAGTGGGCTCCTGCACAGCTCAGGCAGGCTCTGGGGAAGAAAAAAAAAAAAAAAAAAGATGATCAGGCTCATCACTTCTTTTTTCTTCAGTGCAGCTTGCCTTCCCACTGCTGCCAGGCTGCCTGCAGAGCTCCTGAGCCTCACGGAGCCTGATGATTCCCTCCACAGCTGTAAGGCAGCAAACTAAAGCTCCTCAGAAGTGTTTTAGTTTGCTGCACCCCAAAATCATTAAGGCACATTACGCCGCTAAATTTGCTATAGCAGCTGGAATTAGTGCACAATACGCCACCAAATTTGCAAACTCGTGCGAGCAGCAACACCATTAAAGCAGCGCAAAAGGCATTTAACAGGCTTTAGTGAGTTGTCTACAGATGCCCCAGGATCCTCCAGAAAGTTGGCCAGAATGATGAATTTGCATTTAAACATGTTCAGCTGCATCACTGAAAGTACCTCTGCAAAAATATGTAATGTTTTATTTTTACAATATTTATTGATGAAAAATATTTAAATATTGTTAGTGATATACAATATGAATGGGGGTATTCCATTTTTCATGAACTCTTTATATTTAATCTTCATTCTGTTTTATGGTTTGTTTTGTACAAGTTGTCTCTTGAAGTCAACAATATTGTACTGGCTTGTGTACGAGCCCCAATTTTCTGTTCTAGTAAATTTTGTGGAAATAAAGTATTTCCACAACAAACAAGAAGTAAGTAGGATAAATATTAGGTACTAGCTTATGAAATCTTTAAAAAAATAAATAAATCAGACACAGGAATAAACCAATTTGAAAGGCAAACTTTCCCTTCTGAGGATCTGTTTTTGTCAGTTTGGTATATTGTTAACTAAAACTTTAGGCAAATTGCTGCATTAAAAATATTTTACTATTAAAGTTATAATATCTAAATATTGTGTCTGTAAATAACACAAGGGCACAGGAATATATATGTGAAAAATGTTGTCAACGTTTGATTCCTGACTGATATACCTAAGAGGCGTGCTGGAAAAAATTAGTTTTTATTTATTTATTACCTTTGAAGATTCTTAACCCTGCTGCTCCCTGTGTCTCTCAGTTGTCTCGAGAAATCAATATCCAAGCGGTGGGATGCAATTTTATAATTGTCTTCTATGATTCAGATAGAAACTAAGCTTGAGACCCTCACCAGAAATTGCTGCTCTACCTCCTAGGGGCTCTGGCAGAACTTCATCTATTCACTGCCCTTATCTGCAGTCATACCAAACTGTTAATCCCTATATTTAACTAAATAAATGTTACAATAAACTGACTTAGTGCACTATGTGATTTTGTAGTTTAGGCACTGAGCTTCTGATAAGGGTGTTAAATTTAGTAAGAACTCTGAGCTCTTCATTCAGGTGAGAAGTAATCTTCTCAGGTGCTTGAAGCACAGTACTCTAAATCAGGAAACTTAAGCCCAGATTTTCAAAAACTGTGCGTCTTGCCCATGTATTTTAATTTTCATTTTAAAGGTAAAGAAACCTAGACAGCAGGAGCTGACATGCAATGTCTAATGTCAGATGTGCAGTGTTGAAGAGGAAGGCTAAGATCAGAGTGCAGGGCCAAGGGTTTTAAAAAATATATATTTGCCTTAGTGTTAGTCTTCTAAGCCCATTTTATGATTTTTTTTCACCCAAGACTCCCATCAACCCCTCTGTGCCCACATTCCTTGCATGCAAAATAGGTATGCTAATAATTTACCTCTGTAAAGTATTTTGAGGTTCTTTTATAAAAGACTTTATGGTAAGATTGTTTACTATCTGACCATAGCTTCTAAGGCCATTTATAAGGGGTATATTTTGTTAAGTGCTGCGTATCTTTATTTCTACTGAAAATCATGGTCTGGCCTCAAATGATCAAGTTTTGAAATATTTGTAATATCTTTCTTGTCAAACAAACTTAGACCATCAATGGAGCAAATAAGATCTGTCAATTATAGCTATAAAAGAAAGTTAGCAATCCTGTAAGGAAGGAATACATGAAAAAGCACTGTGGAAACACACTGGCCCCTAAGTCTATATGAAGTTTGGATGTTTACTTAAATCACTGGATGCAAGTTGTTCTGTCCTTTGAGCTTTGGAAGGGAACGCTGGGGAGAAACACTTCCAGTGGTTTCTCCATTCCTTTGACCATAAGTAAATGTCTAGCTTAACATTTGATTAGCATTATGTATTTCCTTACTTTAATTCCAGACTAGGTATTCATTACATATCTCTTTTTCTTCCCTGCCCCATACTCCATCTGGTATGTGTTTTAACACAAACTGAAACAACCTTCTGCCCCTAAGGAATTAGTCCCTGTATAAAAATAAGAGTGCATGTGCCTGCTTTTGTGTGTGGGTGAGAGGAAAAAAAATAAAATTAGAAAATTCCATAAAATAATTAATTCTGATGTGGCAGTCCATTTTTTCCAGCAAATGCTAATTTAAGTATCTAAGTAGTTGTTATATCAGCATGGTTCAACTGAAATTTGAAGCACCCTGAAGGGACTTGGGTGGCTATCTCATTCATTGGTAAATTGAACTGAATGTGCAAATCTCTTGTCTGCTTAGAAAATGTTGGTCTTAGACATATGTTAGACTTTAAACAAATCTTCCTTGATAGATCTGAAATTAGCTGGGTGATTTAGAAAACATTTCTCTTGGTATATAGTTGCCTTTATCATTATAAAAGTACCATTAGGGTAATTGAGCTGATCTTGCAAACACCTCCTACTCAGGTTATTAGATGGAAATAAAGATCCTTTTTCTGGGAGATGGCAATCTATATTTTTCCTAGCACCATCCTTTTTCCTTATTCCATACTTTATGCCATTCCAAAGGTTGCCTACAAGAGACCTATTCAAGCTTCCGTCTGAGCAGCTGATTGAAGAGCACTGTCCTCAGATGTTCTACTTCAGCTCATTAAATGTTTTCCCTCCCCTTCCCTATAAGTTTGTCTGTGACTTCAATTAAAATGCAGACATATTAAAACAAAGCTACTGAGCAAGATAATCCCCTTTTGGTAAAGGAAGATGAACAATAATAATAATTATAAGTTGAAGAAAAGGAAGAACATTGATAACATGCCTCCAAAATGATGATTATATGTAAACATTTTCAAACTTTAGCTAGTAACTTAGGCTGTACAGGGTGGGAAAGAAAAAAGGCCAGGTTACAGAGAATCAGAGTTTTATTTATTTTCTCATTGTTTTCCCAGGTTATCTATTTCTTAAAATATTTGTATTAGGCTTGTTCTTTGATGTGGGACCCACATTTCATTGTGAATTAATAACAGAAGCATAATTCTTTTTTTATTTCTTGGTTGAAAAAATATATTTAATTTTCCCCCCTCCACAGGATTCAAAATGGATAGAAGAGAAGCAGCTGCTTATCAGAACAAATCAAGAATTGTTTGAAAAGGTATATGGTCAGAATCTGGGAACCTTTGGGTATGACTTTTTAATAGGAATTATAAATGAAAGTGATGTGCCAAGA